GGTGCTGCTCCACTATGCAACCTTTGGTCTGGTAGGAAGCCACACCCCATTGTCACTATTTCAGAAAGGAGCTCATCTTTGTAATTGATCAGCAGTGGCCCATCCATCATCTTCAGTGTGGAATGGCATCTCAGTTTCACAAAGTACTAACCACACAATTGTTCTTCAACATAATTAAATTCTTTGCTACTTGCAGGTGATGGTGTCTGGTGGAAAATCAAATCAGACGGGTAGTTCATGTTTCTATTTTTGTTAGTAGTACTCTTACAGAAGTTACTAGATTGTTGTCAATTATTTTGTTTTCGGAGATATATTCCTTAAATAATTCTGTGAGTTCCTAAATACTGGCCATTGCTATGTCAAATCCATAATGAATATTTCTTAAAGAACTAAACAATTAATATCTAGATGTTTAATGAGATAGGAAGATAAAATCCATAGCTTTGTTTTAATAACCAATAGACAAACTTTAATTTCTTAATTATTACTCATGTTACTTTAACTACAGAAAGAAGAGGTAGTAGAAGAACTTGAAAAGAATTAATAGGAGCTGTTTTGAAGAAAATTAAAAAAAAAAAAAACTGTAGGATTATTAGTCACTATTTTAAATATTCAGTTAGTGACATTGAGGAAATATTTCCAAATTACAGTATCTCATCATAATACTAAATCCAGGAGATTACAAGATAAGAACTTCATCTGTTCATTACATGTATGAAATTATTTGAAATACAGAACAAGTTGGACGTGAGGTTTACCCTTACATATATCATTAGTATATATACTAATGTAATGAAACAACATGCATAGTTAAATCTGCTAGAACATCTCAAGTGTCTCAATTGTAGTATATCTGAAATATGGTGCAACATTTATAATGAGAGCTATATTGGAGAGAAATGTTTCATTCCTTGGAAAAACGACATTGCTATATTTGTTCTAGAACACTATTTAAACAAGCAAGTTCATCTATACCTGACAGTATATGATTATTTACCATAAAGATTCTTTTGAAAATACAAAGAAGCCCTTCTTATCGGAGAACAAAAACCAGAAATAAACATTTTAAGGTTAATATATTCCGAGACTGTGTAATACTAGGGATGTAACTGGGCTTTAATTGTCAAATATTATAATTTTGTTCTTGTAATATAGTAAGAAATGTATATATTCATGTATTTTTCTTACGTACAGGTATCTGTGTACTTTTGTGTAATCTATAAAAAGATGTATTTAATTTTTATATTTAAAATTTCATACGAGGTTTCTCTTCATTTGTTGACTACATGTGTGTGTATTTTGTTGTAAATATAAATTAAGATTAGATTATTTTATCACTTCATATGCTACTTCTCGAGTGTATATTTATATGATTGTATATAACCTTGCACATGTATTAGAAGAAATTAATAAAAGCACATACCATGTATATGTACTTTTAAAATTTCGTCATTGCTCACATTAGCAGTAATGCATATAAACCTACGTTTAGCCCGGCATGGCCAGGTGGATAAGGCGCTCGACTCACAATCTGAGGGTCGCGGGTTCGAATCCGCATCCCACCAAACATGCTCGCCCTTTCAGCCGTGGGGGTGTTATAATGTGACTGTCAATCCCACTATTCGTTGGTAAAAGAGTAGCCCAAGAGTTGGCAGTGGGTGGTGATGACTAGCTGCCTTCCCTCTAGTCTTACACTGCTAAATTAGGGACGGCTAGCGCAGATAGCCATCGTGTAGCTTTGCGGGAAATTCCAAAACAAACAAACAAACAAACCTACGTTTAATGTCATGATGTATCTGTGATGCATGCCTTATCTCATTCATGATTAGAACATTGTTCTAAAGATAAAGAGCTCTAACCCTTATATTATCTGTAGTGCTTTGAGTTTGTATACTTCTCTGAAAATGCAAGATATAAGAGTAATGAAAATGTATTTCCTTGAGTTTTGGGATGTAGGTTTCTTTCTCATTGGGCTTTCTCACTGGCAACAGGAAAGTGTTATCAATAACTCAAACTGTTTGTATTCAGGGCATTGTTACGTATCACTAAGGTTAACAGACAGACAAAGCCATTTGTGATATTTCAGCTGGCTGCAATCCATTATATGAAAGATGTGTATCAGATCTCCCCATCAGAAGTTTTGTACTGACCTCCCACCTGTTGCTTGTCTCAGAAGTCATGTGGCTAAAATATGGACCATCTTATAGATATTTACATCAGTTTCCTTTAATTATATAATGATGATGGCAACAGCTTTGTAGAGCTTTGTTTATTTAGATGGTTTTGTCTGATTTTATGAGTTTTTTTTGTATAACAAAAACAAACAATCATAAAAAATATTATTAAATTACCAGTATTTCATTGACAACAAATGTGTTTTCTATCTTTTATATTTATCAAGGTTATCTACTTGACTGTTCTTGGTGATATCCTAATGGTCTTATTAATGGTATAAGTTACCATGTAAACTAATAGGAAATCACTGTGTTATGATCAGACTGTGCAAGTAAGTGTTTATTGATGATTTATATAGTGTTCCAGTGTCTTTTTATCATTTTTATTCATCACACTAGTTATTCATTGTAGTTTTGAGGATTTGATCAAAACTGAAAGTAGTTGAATATGTCACCTTATTGTATCTCAAATGAAATACTTTCCTGTTTCCCTTTAGCTGAATGGAAGACTTAAGTAATGTATTCTGATGCCATCTCAAAGTGTTTCATCATCTGCAGGAAATGTGGCTTTGGCAGATTCTTGTCTTCTGCGTGAATATTAGATACATAACAGCTGCAGAGTTGCTTTCATGGACTAAATGTTTACATGCAAGATCTTTCTGTTTTTCTTGAATATTCCTCTTTGTCTTTCCGGTTTCTTATAGAACATTTTCTTGCAAACTGTTTCAAATAGGAACACATAGCACTTTTCATCTTCATGTTTCTGTTAATGTGGATATACACGGCGTGGTCACAAGTAAATAGACACCACCTTTTCAGAAAAAATGAAAATTTTCAGTCATATTCACATGAATTGATATATTTATAATTTAATTAATATCTAGTGTATCTTCCTTTCACTTCGTGGAGTTTGTTGATTGTGGGATTGTGGGATTTCGCCCACTCTT